TAGTCTAGGGAACATACTGTATTAATGTACTCTACTGCATATAATTTGTGAACATTTACATGATTTGTACACTTTAAACTCCCTTTCAGGCTGAAAGGGACTGAAAAAATTCATACCGAGAGATTCTTTAAATTCCACTCTAATATATATTCTATTCTCTATGTATGAAATGCTAAAAAAAAATATTGGATGTTTGATGATTTGAGAAAATCACGCAAAAATTTTTTTTACCACCGAGTCTGAGTTTTGTAATATGTCATATCCATAACATTCTTTTCTCAAACTAATGGGCAAATGATCGGGATTTCGAACCGCTTTCAGTTATTAGATGTAACGAATTAGAATTTGACCTGCAAGTTATAACAGAATTGTGATGAGCGGGACTAGGAGTGAAGGTTAAAGTATTTTCTGTATCATAAGTCCCATTCCGTCTTCCAGAACTTTGGGTTTCGTGGATTTCTGGATTAAAAATTACAGATTAGTATTTATATCAATAATTATATTAACTAACTAATTAATTAATGGGACTGTCCTTATAATTTTAAGTGACTCTCCATTTCAAACGGTTTACTATTTATTTGAGAAAATGTGAAGAAGAAGTGTTTATATAAGCTTGAAAAGCATTTTGTAGAGAAGTTGTTTTACTGTTTTTACACTCTACAGTACAAATATCACTTTATAGAAACCCTAGAATGAAGAGCATGGATATCATACAACAGCTCCTCTAATGATGTATTTCTGAGAGATACAAAAATTAGATTAATTAACTAGTTAATTAAGGAACAATCGTCGTTGTTTCAGCCCTTCAACAATAGAGGAACATGCCAATACACAACTAAAATTTAAACCTTTCTCTGATCAATGATGTGGAAGATATCGTATTTTTTCTAGCTGTAAAGGCGTTTAATTTAGACAATTTTTCTGTAGAAATCAGCAGTTATCACTCTTATAGACAAACCACAAATTAAAATAAACATTAAATCTTGATCATCTTAAGCCTTTTTAGGTTATCATCGGGAATCGGAAATAACATTTAATAAATGTAGGTATACACTTGAAATTACGCCTACAGTCCCTGTAAATGTAGATATGCACTTGATATTACGCCTACAGTCCCTTTAAATGTAGATATACACATGATATTACACCTACAGTCCCTTTAAATGTAGAGATACACTTGAAATTACGCCAACAGTCCCTTTAAATGTAGAGATACAATTGAACTTACGCCTACAGTCCCTTAAAATGTAGATATACACTTGATATTACGCCTACAGACCCTTTAAATGTAGAGATACACTTGAAATTACGTCTACAGTCCCTTATAATGTAGAGATACACTTAAAATTACGCCTACAGTCCCTTTAAATGTAGATGTACACTTGAAATTACGTCTACAGTCCCTTTAAATGTAGAGATACACTTAAATTTACGCCTACAGTCCCTTTAGATGTAGGTATACACTTGAAATTACGCCTTCAGTCCCTTAAAATGTAGGTATACAATAAAAATTACACCTACAGTCCCTTTAAATGTAGGTATACAATAAAAATTACACCTACAGTCCCTTTAAATGTAGGTATACAATAAAAATTTCACCTACAGTCCCTTTAAATGATGTTTTTGTAAGAGAGAGATAATATTCATAAATTAGACTCTAAAAATCCATCAACTTTCAGTTTGTAAAATGACATGAATATTATGTAAATTTAACATCAGTGACACAAGATCGTTACTCACGGAAAAACATTATTTTTATGTTTATAATATATTACTCATAGAGTAATAAAACGAAGAGGTGAAGCTTAGCTCAGATGTACACAACCGACCTGTCTATTAATTGATAGACAGGTCGGTTGTGTACATCTGAGCTAAGCTTCACCTCTTCGTTTTATTACTCTATGATATTACTAAACCTAAATCTTATTCAGATAAGTAATACGTATAATCGGAAATGTGTTTCTTAGTTTGGAACTTGTTCTGCTTTAAGGGGACTGTTGTTGAAATATAAAGTGACTGTACAGTGTACATTTAAAGAGTGGCATCCCCGACTCACAACAGTACAACTTAAACCTTGGTTTGACCAAGAAATATATAGACCAGGAACCGCCATATCTGGTGCGTCAAATCTGTGTACTGCAGTGGGAGGAGATCAAAACAAAGAATTCAGGGGCAACACATCATTTTTGAGGGAAAAGGGCCCAAGGAGTGGAATAAGAATATATTGCTATTGTATTTTCCATATTGAACAGAAAGCCTAAAAATCATATGTATCCGCTCTAACTTGATATATTAACTTATTTTGTTGGACTGTAATATCACATCAGAGCTTTAGTCCTTTCCATTCAACTTCTGTGGGGGCACTGAGTTTGTGTACATTCCTCCCACAGAGTACAGTACACAATTTGCGTATACCTGAGTTGGGCGTTCCTGTATATAGTTCCTTGGGTTTGACCAGTAATGTGGGATATGTCGTCGTTTTTCTAGCTTGACATTTGTTAGATTTCGACATTTCCCTCAATTGTTTCGAACACAGAAATCTTTTTTTTTACATGTAGAGAAACCACAATTGAAAATAATCTTTAAAAATAAGATGATAAATAATAAATATGTGAATCGAGTAAACGCAGAGTCATTTATAATTACGTAAACAGTCCCTTTAACAGTTAAAAAGGGACACGACATATTTTCAAAAAATTTCAGATTTGTTGCATCTTGTTGAGCAGTCGTTATCTTATATTTGTGTCTCCAAATACCATTCATGATGTATTGTTTAGAGATTTTTTCATATCAATAATATATTGGATTCATGTCATGAATATACATAACGTAATACATATCTATTGTACTCACAAGATATTAGAAAATATGAAAAATGGATATATATATATATATGTATATTATTTTCAACTTTGTTCAGTTTAGATATACATTTAAAATGTTTCAATATATATTTTTTCCAAGACAAAATGTTTCATGGGTCTAACCCAATCATCAGTTGAATAAAACTCTTTATTTATATATTATTTATAAATATATATACAAATTGTTTACAAAAATACTACTTGCAGTCGTTTGGAAGTTAATATGAAAGAAACTTCAGTTATCACCTCAAACCCGCATCCAAGGGGTAAAATATCAACCAAAAACTGCAAAAAAAATCTTTTTTCTCCTAAACCCCAAATCTGAACTGTTGAAAAAGAGAGATTATAAAAATTTTCTCATATATATTGCTTTAATGTCATCTTCCTTATCCACAGTTTATTAGAACTCACTATAGATTACCTTCATATTCCTGCAATGTAAATTGATTGAAAGTTTAGAGAAAATTTGTTTTTCTTCTTTCTTGTTTTATTCCAAGCAACAGTCTTACCTTGATCTAGAATTCGCTGTCCATCTAGAAACCAGAGAATATTTGCAGGAGGGTTACTCTCCCATACACGGCATCTCAATTTACTATAACAACATTTTTTTCTTTAAGCATATACAGGGATACGCAATGGGGAGTAGGTGAAGGGGAGGGGGGGCATACTCTAGCTCCGGAATAAATGCAAACCATATTTCCAGTAATGAGAATTTAACAAAACAGTTATGTCACTTATGATTTCGCAATACATAGCTAATTTTCAATGTATTTTCAGTGTACTTTCAGTGTACTTTCAGTGTACTTTCGGTGTACTTTCAGTGTACTTTCAGTGTACTTTCAGTGTATTTTCAGTGTACTTTCAGTGTATTTTCAGTGTATTTTCAGTGTACTTTCAGTGTACTTTCAGTTTACTTTCAGTGTACTTTCAGTTTACTTTCAGTGTACTTTCAGTGTATTTTCAGTGTACTTTCAGTGTATTTTCAGTGTATTTTCAGTGTACTTTCAGTGTACTTTCAGTGTACTTTCAGTGTACTTTCAGTATACTTTCAGTGTACTTTCATTGTATTTTCATTGTACTTTCAGTGTACTTTCAGTTTACTTTCAGTGTACTTTCAGTTTACTTTCAGTGTACTTTCATTGTATTTTCAGTGTACTTTCAGTGTACTTTCAGTGTACTTTCAGTGTACTTTCAGTGTACTTTCAAAGTACTTTCATTGTACTTTCAGTGCAATTTTAGTGTACTTTCAATGAACTTTCGTTGTACTTTCAATGCAATTCATATTCAAAGGGGATAAATAAAATATGTCTACATTTATTCATGCAATATTTGAAAAATTCTAATCTTTCGTATCTTTTTGCTTTTTCCGTACACACTTTTTTAATGATGGATTAAAAAAAAACAATGTGTTTTATTTCGCAGCATATTTAACCGTATTTCTTAGAATCCATATTTACGGATCTTGAATTAAAGAGTTAAAACAAATATTTTAATGAAATATATTTAAAATAATACCTTGGAAAATCTGCTCGCATTTCTACAACTTCGTCAGGTTCTAGAGATATCCTCTTCGGTGGAACTAAATTAAAGAGTTAGAAACTTCTGCATGGTTAGATGAAGCGCTTATCAGCAACACACATCTTGATACACGCTGCTGCAACTTTAAAAATTGTATTATTCCTAAATAGCACTGACCATGGATTTCCAATTGATTAAATCCTTCGGACGACAAAAGAAACTGAAAACTGATTGATCCTGGGTTAAGCAAAAAAAAAGTTCTGACCCCTGAGCTGAAAACTTTAGAATTGGATTTCCTTAATACTGATCGGTTAAGCTGAATATCCACTGTGGACACTTTCAGATTCTGCTAAATCCGCACTTTTCCCTTTTTTGGATATCCCTACTGGATTTCAACCAATAAAATCTCTCATTAAATGACGCGCAAAATTTCAAATTTCCCGGGTTCGGATTGGCTGTTCGGGATTCTGCATACACCACTCTGATTGGTTAAATTAAAAACATTTTCCTGGGTACAAACTAAAGATTAAAATAATCTTAAGATTAAAAAAAGATTAAGCATTAATCTCGATATCCACACTTTTAAAGTTTTCAGCTCTGGACAGATTTTATGGATATAGCTAGAAAAGGTTAACAATGTAACATACTGTATAAAGAAATTCCAACATTGAATAGTTCGACATTATACGAACAAACATAATGATACACTAGGCAGAAATTACATTGCGCCAACATTGCTCTGACTATGATCATCGCAATGTTTTTTAATTAAAAATTTAAATTCTTATTTTATTTGCCCTTGATGGTTCATGGTTACTTAAACTTTATGTTTTTGTACAAAATATATATAAAGTGCTTCATAAGATGGATAGCTTTCATTTCAGTAGAATCTGAAGCAAAAGTTGGAGAGAACAAGAAACTTTGTATAACATACACTAGATTCGATACTTTTCTTTAACACAGAGATTACCAGTTTTATTTTACGCATTTATTTATCTGCTTACCTCTCATTTTTAGTTTTGAAAAATAATTATTTTTGTGGCATCTCTTAGGAAACTACTCGACAATTAGTTTAAACATCAATAAAGTTGATTTCCTCCAGGTTAGATTCTATAAGATCTAAAGTTTACCTAGAACTTGTATATTTGCAGAAGCTCTGATCTCAGAATGTTTATTCTCCGGATCTGGCGAAACCTAGAAACCAAGAAGAAATAAAAAAAAGATTAAGCATTAATCTCGATATCCACACTTTTAAAGTTTTCAGCTCTGGACAGATTTTATGGATATAGCTAGAAAAGGTTAACAATGTAACATACTGTATAAAGAAATTCCAACATTGAATAGTTCGACATTATACGAACAAACATAATGATACACTAGGCAGAAATTACATTGCGCCAACATTGCTCTGACTATGATCATCGCAATGTTTTTTAATTAAAAATTTAAATTCTTATTTTATTTGCCCTTGATGGTTCATGGTTACTTAAACTTTATGTTTTTGTACAAAATATATATAAAGTGCTTCATAAGATGGATAGCTTTCATTTCAGTAGAATCTGAAGCAAAAGTTGGAGAGAACAAGAAACTTTGTATAACATACACTAGATTCGATACTTTTCTTTAACACAGAGATTACCAGTTTTATTTTACGCATTTATTTATCTGCTTACCTCTCATTTTTAGTTTTGAAAAATAATTATTTTTGTGACATCTCTTAGGAAACTACTCGACAATTAGTTTAAACATCAATAAAGTTGATTTCCTCCAGGTTAGATTCTATAAGATCTAAAGTTTACCTAGAACTTGTATATTTGCAGAAGCTCTGATCTCAGAATGTTTATTCTCCGGATCTGGCGAAACCTAGAAACCAAGAAGAAATGTTAATAATCAGTTTTTGCCACAAACTCTGATTTTCTATATCTTCTCAACTCATGATATTTAGATATTTAGATATTTAGATATTTAAATATTTAAAACTATGAAAGCTGTTAGATTAAATAATTTAAGCTTGACCATACGAAAGATTTATCTTATTGAGTTGCCAAGATATAACGATTGGAAAAGTTTGTGGCAGAGACTCAATTCTTTTAATTTAAATGTATGACTGATAAAATTGAAACCCTAACATTTTTTTTTCGCAAAACTGGATTTTGGCTCAAACTCAAAATTTCTAGTCCCAATATCTTTGCAACTTAAAAATATAAACCTTTGATATTTTAAACTTAGACCATTTGATCTAAGAGAAGTATAGTCAATTGACCACATTAGGTTACAAAGATATAGGAATTAGAAAATTTGAGTGTGTGTAAAAAACTAAATTTCTTCTTTGCTCGAATTGTGTTTGGAATATTATGGATAATCGATAATAATTAATGATAAACCTGGCATTCGAAAGAATTATGTTGCTCGAGCTCGACGTTTTTAACCCTGAAAAAAAAAAACATTTTAAACTGAGTAATATTAAATTTAAACAATTCATGTTCTCTTAAAGAAATTGTATAATCTGAAAGGTTCCTGGATTAGAACAAATCATCTGCGTTAAATCTAGCATAATATATTTAATTCAGGTCTCATTCTTCAAACTTTTTCTTTGTAGTTTCACGTGCAGATTTGGAAGACAAAAAGATTAAGATCAAACTTTTGAATCAATCAACATTCATCAAGTCAGCTTGGCCCTCAAACAATAAGAGTGTGTACTCTAAATATAGCCTTGACCATTCTGGAACTAAATTTTATTAATTAGAACTCCCTATAACCGCCCATTCAAACTTGAATTACCGATTCAAATCCTTCTTTAATCTTTAACTTTGAATTGGTGGTTAACAAATTATGTGTTTCAGAGTTAACAACTGAATATTGTTGTAAAAGCATTAAAATATGCATGCTTTAATAAAATATAATAATATCCGAATTTTGACTTTCAACAACCTAAAATGTTAGAAAAAAAGGCAACGTTTAGTTTGTATTTTAAAATAACCAAAATATTTCGAAATCAAAAACTCACTTAATCTTAAGAAAAAAAATGTTTACAAGTATTGGAGTAAATTGGTAAAATTTAGTTAAAAAAAAGAACGATACTCAATTCCGAACAAAATCTTCAAAATTCTCCTTGTTATTCGATATTTTTTCTAACATTGTAGTTTACTCACTTAAGATGATACTCTCCCTTAGCTGTGTCTCCAACTGGTTCACACTTCTTACAGTAATCCCTGAACATACCTTTGTTAGCGGACATTTTATATAGGACTGGGCAACTTAGTTAATTTTTTCAATCGGAACCTTATATAAACTTGTTGGACTTTCAGAAGAAACCATTTCTTTGTAATGTCAAACTACTGCAATCATTTCGAAATCAAAAACATCAAATTCGAAACTCATAACAAAATGTTCAATATGCCAGACATTTCTTATAATCCTAACATTATGTTCGTAATTTAGAACAAAATGTTCGTAATTTCAAACAAAATGTTCATAATTTCGAACAAAATGTTCATAATTTCGAACAAAATGTTAATAATTTTGAACAACATGTTCATAATTTCGAACAGAATGTTCGTAGTTATGAACATTTTGTTCATAATAGTGTTCACACATTCGAAATGCTTTCAATACGTTCTAAATTTCATGATCCTCCTTGCAAAGATGCATGGCATTGCATGATTCACAACAGTATCATTTAAAGCTTTGTATGATCGTATGAAGTAGATATTAATGTTTTATCTTTGAAAACGGATTAGTTTCAATTAGCATTTGTAATAACAATTACAGCCTTTCATTCGCTAAAATGGTAATTCTACTTTAGATTTATAGAGGCATTCAAGATTAGGAAATATTTATTTTTAACACATTTTTACAATTTTTTATCATTTATTTCTATTTCGCCTATTTCTTTGAAAAATAAAACTTTTTATCAGTAAATAATTGACATTGTTCACACTTTGGGAGGGATGGGTTTATAATATATTCCTAGAAAATAAAATAAAAGGCTTTTTTTACATTAAACTTTACCTGATCGTGTCGAGGGTGTAACCCATTGCAAATCCATCACTAGACCAAACAAATTTTTAATCTTTTTTATCTTTCCTGACGGGGCAACAGATCTTCACATTCGTAAATGCATCTGTAGGTTTTTTACAACTAGTAATATGAAGTTGTTTTATATGGTGCAAATGCGAAAACAGTAGGATTATACCCCATTTACAAAAAGAACCTGGAGTTTACTCTGCCAGACAACAGTAAGTTCTTTTTGCCTTATAACCCAATGACATCAAGCATTGAAAAAAAATGTTGTACGGTTGTACCGATTATGAAACTACCTTTAGATTTACTGTGAGAATTGTTTACTCTCAACAGTGCAAACCCAATAGTGGCCATTAAAAAGTAGGCTTTTTTTGATGTCCTCTCCCTGTAAGAAGGAAATTTCTCCTTGGAAGAAGCCTCTCAAAAAAATGTCATTATGTCGTGGGATTAGAAGGTTAGTTTCGAGGTTTATGGAAACTTCTAAAGAGCTAAGATGCACACTTGTTTTTGGTTAATTAATGATTATCTGCTCACAGAAAAAGTTAGATCATTTTTAGAAGAGTGTGAATAAGCTAAAATAGACATAAAAAACCATTTCTATGTTTTAAAAAAAGAGTCATTGTTTGCTTTTAATTTAGAGGATTTTCAAAAAAATTATTTTCATAAGGACTGTTTAAGTAATAATTAGAGTAATAACCTAGAAGTCTCACATTTCAAAATAGTTTAACAAACCATTTAAAAAACCTAACATTTTGCTCGAAATATCGAACAAGTATTAATTTTTCGAAAGGAATTGATTTTTTGCCACAATCTAAAATCTTCTGATTCCAATATTTTTTCAACCTTTGGTGAAAACCTTTGATATTTCAAACTTAGATTATTTTATCTATAAGTATTAATAGTTTGAAATATCTAAGGTCTACGGCATTGGGTTACAAAGATATAGAGATTAGAAAATCAGAGTTTGTGACAAAAACTCAACTCCTTTGTGTTCGAAATTATTACTAAAATGTTAGGCATGCCTTACAGTTCTGCTTATTCTATAGATATTACAAACAAAATGTTGAATTTTCTTTTAACATATATGCTAGTAATTTTTTTAAATTTATTGGTTCCTTGTCCATTGAACTTTTCCGGCCAGGTTCTTGATCTTACACCTGAAATAATCCATGAATGAAACTTTGCACTAAAATAAATGGATATTTGTGTTGTACAGTTTAACACAGAACTTCAGAGACATACGAATTTTAAAAAAGTAATTTTTTAAACCTACTGCAATAATGGAATGTTGCGGATATTTAGGTTTTTTATTGAATAATTATATGAAGCTCTTTAAAACTGTCCTGTGGCCGAATTTAAAGAATTTGAGCGGCGAATTAAATGTAAGCCGCGGTTTAGATATGGTTGGTTTTACTTAAAATTGTATCAAATGTTTCAAGATTTAAGCCGGCGCTAAATTTAAACCGGGTTTTCGCGGATTTTGGCGGATTTAAACCGCGGCTCAAATTCTTTATATTCCATCTCCGGCCGCATATTTCATGGCTAACAATAAGGGACATTTAGGTAAAATATAATAAAACCCATTGAAAAAATGTCAAAGCAGCATCTTATGAATTCTTTTGGTTGCTCCGAAGTTCTATGTTAAACTGCAATTCATGCCGGTAATTGTATCGAACTTTAGAAACCATTTAAAAATGAGTAAATAAAAGAGATAATGAAGTTTGCAAGTACAATTAAATTTGACAAATAATGTATAGAGAAGAAATTAAGTATGACAGGAATTAGATTTATCATCGATGGTATGATGATGTATAAAAAATAAAATTGTTTTTAAACAATTAAGAATTGAAAACATTCTTGATAAACTTTAGTTTTTGTACAAATCAAAACTTGATCCCAAGATTGACTTCTGAACAAATGGTTTTAACTGTATATTCCGATTTTTCTTTTAGTATAATCTCGAGACTGTAGACTGAAGGGATATAGGGCAGTCTATTGCTTTGATCTTCTCAAGGAAAGTTCAAAGAAAAGAAATTTAAACGAGCAGCTTAACGTTCAAACTACATAACACAGCAATAGTAAAAACCCTATCATTTTTTTTTAAATCTAACTTTCGAGATTACAATAAACGTAAACATTTGTGAGATATTTTATGTTATGCTCCAAATTTCAAAACCCATTCGATAACCCGAAGAAAATGTTATAGTTTCTTCAATTAGGGCATAGTTTTAAGGACTTTGGAATATAAAGATGAAACACAACAATTGTACATTCAGTGAGCACATTTTAAAGTTGATTTGTAAGTTAGTGAAACTGGTTTCTTTACAACAACATCAAAAATACACATACACCCTCTTCCTTCTATTCCACAGTCTGATTAGTCCGACTGTATAAAATAAAATAAATGATTTACCGTAAAATAACGCTTTCATGTTCTATAACGGCGACATCTGCTGGTTTCTCTAGAAAGCTCTGCATAAACCCAGACGCACAGGATAATCCTACAACATATTTATGACATGCATCTTCCATATGATCCCTCTGTTTAATCCCCGACCCTTGTCTAAAGTTTAACATCTTCCATATGATCTCTCTCTTTAATCCCCGACCCTTGTCTAAAGTTTAACATCCTCCATATGATCCCTCTCCACTATTTTCTCTCAGTATAATGCTCTGGAGACAAAAGATGGTAAACCTCGCTATCAAATATTCATACATTTTCTCAGATACTCAACCATAGTAGGGAGTAGGGAGTTGGGGGTAGGGAGTAGGGAGTAGGGGAGTAGGGAGTTGGGAGTAGGGAGTAGGGAGTTGGGAGTAGGGAGTAGGGAGTAGGGGAGTAGGGAGTTGGGAGTAGGGAGTAGGGAGTAGGGAGTAGGGAGTACGGAGTAGGGAGTAGGGAGTAGGGAGTAGGGAGTACGGAGTAGGAAGTAGGGATTAGCTTACTGCAAATACGTTGCAAACATTGCAAAGTTTTTTTGTCACAATCTAATGTTTACAATCTCAGAAAATCACAATTTATGTAGTTGTGTTTAAAATGGCGTATGCTTGTAAACAATTAAAATTATCTTGTTAACTTTTATTTCCTTACCAATGCCATTTTTGTTTCAAATTTTGCAAAATCTATGCAGAACTTTTTCTAAATATTTCTTCTTTTTTAGATTTCTTTTTTAATTTGAAAAGACTAAAAGTTTCTGAAATTTTGCAACAAAGTAAACTCACTGAAACATAATCCAGTTCCAATCCTATCAAATTATTTAATTTAAAATTCAAAATTCAAATTTAAGAATTCATCAAGTTTTACAACATTTTTCAACTTCATCAGGAATAGTTTCAATATTTTAAAAGTCGAAATGTTTGATGAATTTAATTTTGCTTATTCATTATTCATTCATTTTTCACCGGAATAATATCGCTAAAAGGAAATGGCCAGAATTCAGCATCTCAACATTGTATGTTCCATATAAAATATATATCCTTGTGTTTCTGTATTAAAAAGTGTCGAATTATAACAATTTCCTTTCTTTGTCTCTGTAGCCTAATTTCGCAGATCACTTTTACAGAAAATCCACAAAAATACATAGTTCAAAGCAAGCTAGAAAGATAAGGATGGATATCTTATTTTTTCTTAACCATCAAAGGTTTAAAGGCTGCTGTTATAATCAAAAATGTCACGCTATAAATGAAACTTGAAACACTCGTCATCACTCCCTTTCAATACTTAATTAATTTTTTAATATAAGACCTGTTAGTAGAAGAGAGAGAGTAGGAACCATCTTGGTTCGAAGTCCAACCCATCCAATCTTCTCCTAAATGCTTCATTTTAACACTATTGAAAATTAAATTGAAAAAAGTTTTTTGGAACTTGAAAATTCCCCACAAACTCTAGTTTTCTAATCCCCAGTCTTTATACCCCGATGGTTCAGTGTTTACCGTTGATTTTTCATCTGATCTGTAGGATCGAATTTAATGAATTGGCGAGGTCACTGAACTACCTACCATCGGTTCAAATCCTAAATAACCGATTCAAATCCTAACGAATATTTAACTTAATGAATCGGTGATTAAGGATTTGAACCTGCGGTATAACTATAAATAGCTATGGAACCACTCTTCTATTAATTAAATTCCTTCCTCTTGATGTCATAATTTGAAATATTAAGTTCTGCAACATTTGGTTGCAAAGATAAGGGATTAGAAAATAGGAATTTGTTCAGTTTTTCTGAATACTTTCAGTGAAATCTTGAGATAAAGATAAAACAAAAAACAGTCAGCATTTAAGATTTAACATTTTTAAAGGAATAAATTGCATTTTAAGTAAAACATTTTTCTATTTTTAAATTTCAAGATTAACTCAAATCTTAATATTTTAGTTTCTGGTACCAATTTTAATAATAAAAAGATTAATTATCTTTAAAAAAAAAGTTATTTTAACAAATAATTATCAGAGAATGAGATAAGGGTATATTTATATTTCAACTCTTAATTAACAAACTGTAGTAAAACTATAAACATTAAATGCACTAACTAGCCAAGTCCTATACTCCTCATTATAATGTTTGGTTAAAAAGGATATAAAAGACTCATCTAAAAATGTTTTTAGTTAAAGAAGGTGGTTAAAAACTAATTAAAAATGTGATTCATACCTGTTTTCTTGGTTTACAACAAAAACCCATTCATCATTTCAAATTTCAAGCTTCACTGAATAGGGTTAGAATTGGAACTTGTATTAATGTCAGTTTCTTGGTTCTCTCAGCTCTCCTCACATTCTGATTTAAAAATTCGGATCTGGAATAGAAATCTTAAATTTAGAAATCTTAAATTGAATATTTCCTGAAATCTAGAGTAATAAGTGTCAAATAAAGCAAAAATTTAAATTTTGAAAATTTCCCTCGGGTCTATCCACAAGAATAAACTGTTAATGAAATATTTATGCGAATGTTTATAATTTATAACACTATGTTACTAAATTTGAAATGCTATTATAGTTCGATATTGGGATCAAAATAGTTAGGCTGCTGTTTATGTATCTTTGCTAAGTTAATAAGAATTAATTTCGAAATAAAAAAAATGACTTATATTCAACTTAATCGCTTATTCGGCTGCAACAGTTGGATGCCAAATAAGCGATTTGTTGTTGAATATATATTATCAATAAACGTTAATAAGGCTGAACCGATTGAGCCCAGGCTTTTTGTTATAATTCATGATGACTTTGAAGAGGTAAAATTACGAAAAGGCTAGCTATCTACAAACATTTTGCTGTTAATAATTAATGGAATGAATTCTTGAAAAACTAACAGTGTAACTCTGTTTAGTAAGTCTTGAGTCAGCTAAAGGAGTTTTCACTTAGATAAAATTCTCCTAATTCCATTATAGAAATGGATAGATTTGTTTTACACCAAAACTTGGCAGAATAATTTGGACCAAGGAATGGAAGCCATTCACTTTATATCATACAGTTTGGAATTCAATATTTCATCCAGTGTAACTAGTGTAATGAAAATAATATTGATCTTGTATACAGTAAGACCCATAATACTGTGGAAAAGAAACATTTACGCAATTAATGTTGCTATAGAGGAAATAGTTTTACCAGAGCTGAAAACTTTAGAAGGGTGGATATCAAGATTAATGCGTGATCCTCTCTTTTGCATTATCTTGTCTTTATCCTAAAAAGTGTATAAAATAACTTTAGAATGGTTGATATCAAGATTTATGCTTGATCCTCTCTTTCTTAATTCGATGTACTAACCAATTATATATAATGTGAATCAAATTCAACCAATCAGAGCCGATAAATTTAAAATTTTGCGCGCCATTGAAGATTAATATTCAGAAATGGGAGGAACTCTCTAAAACCCGGTTTTTGATTTTTGAGTAATCTGGATAAAGGATATCTCATTCTAAAGTTTTTAGAGCTGGTATTTTAGATTTTACTTGTGATCCTACGATAAAAATTAGAGTTCTCGTTAACAATCCTTTTCAGTATAAAGTTAAATAGTTTTGCTTATATATTTATAAGTAAACTTGAAATTCAAGGCGCTTCGCGCCCTTCTTTCTAGCCTTAGAGGGCGCTTCGCGCCCATCTCATAAATTAATTGTGAACATGTTCTCTTTGTGTACATCTTAAAACAAAACAAAAATAATTCGCGGATTTTCAAAATTTTTAAAAATTTAATGACGATCGAATTTTGATGGAGACAAATATTTGAAATTTTGATGATTCATAAACCTTCCCTGGGGTCCCTGGATGTCCCACAAAAAATTTGGGCCCGATCGGTTCAGCGTTTTGAAGTTTATTGGATACAAACAGACAGCAGACAGACAGACAGACAGACAAGCCAAATTTATATTTATAAGTAAATAGCTATCTTGACCGGAAATTATCTGTTGAACTATTATAATCCGTTGTGTCCGGAATTGACCAGATTTGATATGAATTGTTTAACCTTAATAGGATTAATTCGTTGTCATTTAGGAGATGAACATCTTCATTATATCTCTCTACACACTGTTTACCACCAACTGAAATCTGAAATCTGAATGTGTGTTTGCACCCAGGGGGTATCAGATTCCCCCCTCTTACCCCCGTTTGCACATGTTGCCCACCCCATTGTCTCCGGGCCTTCTCCAATCTATCTCAGTTGGGGCCTTAACTTAACCTTTGACATCCCCCCCCCTNACAATAACAAGAAGTCGGTTAAAAGCATCAAATATTTAACACGTCACAATAACACGTCACGGGTTCTTACTGAAAGGGAATGTTAACGTTATTTAAGGGATCCCAGCTAAAAATTGTCATGTCCAATTCACAATGGTAGCCTATTAACTTTATCATCTGAGCCATAAAAAATAAAAATTTGTCTGATGAAACAAATAAAACAGTTTTCTCACTTTTTCTCAGACGAAAAGAGTACCGCGCAGGGAATAGGAATAAAGGGAAAGGAAATGGTGCTGGTCTGGCATGAGAAAGCCAGTCGCACTGCTTTGCAGACCAGTACTTTAAACTAATACACACTCTTTTGGTCCGGTACAGACACACAACATGATTACAGTCAAGGAAGTTGCAGAACGATATTGTCAATTATAATTAAACTGGAATAACGACTATATTTGTTGTAAACTTTAATCAAATTATATTCTTTGCATGAACATTTGGCTTATAGTGTTGACTTAAATATATGAATAATATATTAGATGTATATTAAACTTATTTTTAAGTAAACAATTAACAATAAACAGATGTACTTTCCTAGACTGTACAAACACCGAGATTCATATGTACTCTATATACCTACAGTACACACCTTTGGTACTTTAAACTAACGCACACTCTTTTGGTACAGACACACACACATGACGTTTCCACCCCCTGGTACCGCGTGATAAAAAATGAAACTCTGTAAATGAAGGGAACTTAGCGTCTACAATTAATCTATAACTGACCCTTTAAAACGTGAATATTGACTTATCTAACACATGACGTTTCCGCCCCCTGGTACCGCGTGATAAAGAATGAAACTCTGTAAATAAAGGGAACTTAGCGTCTACAATTAATCTACTGACCCTTTAAAACGTGATTATTGACTTATTTAATTTTTACTTTATTAAAATTTACCAAAATATCTTGGCATATTTGTTAAAACTTTAGAATCAAAAACCTAGATTTAATGCCTGAATGAGAAAATTGTAAATATGTCTCTCCACACACATTTAGATTATGTTATCCATAAATGTTATCCATAAATCCACATCCTATCAAAGACTTAACTAATACCATAACTATAAAGGTACTGTATAGATATATTGTAGAAATACATTTATTATCTATTATATATTAATATTAATAAATAATCTGCTGACTGCGATCTTGATTCTTCGTGTGTGTGTTTATAAACTAAAACCGTACAATACCCCCCCCCTCACACGGCCTTGTGGTTTTGAGTTGGTCGAAGTAATTTTAAGTTAAACTTGTTTTATTTCTACATTTTTCTATATTAAAAATGATTAATAAATTGTGGATGTAAACAGCTAGCAGAGACTTAAAAAAGAAACTAAAACCTCAGAATCAATATATCAATCAATGGCTGAAAGGTCCTTTAAAGGGACTGTAAAGGAAATATGAAAGGGGATATAGGCGTAAAGCTAATCATTTTAGCTCTTGATTGCGACCCATGAAAGTTATATCTGATGTTCCTGTCTCGACAAATTGATATAAAACTGTGTTAAAATTATACGAAGTTCATATACGTAAAATTTAGAAAATCTTAAACTTAAATCACGTGGCTAGAACTATCACCAATGGCAGAGAAGTATAATGATCACGTGTCTTCGCCTGTATCACGTGACCACTTTACTGCACTGCTATTGGTGGAATTTCTGGTCATTTAATACGAACGTATAAATAATATTATGAATGAAATCTAATAAAAATAGAAATAACAAACATAAAAGTAAACCTAATTTACAATAGCTTTCTCTTGAATATTATCGATTTCAGATTGGTTGCTTATTTGCTGAATTTGATCTTTTTAAACCTACTTCTTTTATACAAAATTGTATAAATATTAATTTTCGTATAAATTTGACAAAGTTGTATATCAATTTCTCGAGATGAACATTTTCTGATTTTCTATTTCAAGATTTTTTTTAAAAAAGGGAGAACAAACATTGCAATATTAGCAAAAGTTCTGATTTTGGAAACTGATTTGCAAACAGTGCAATATAATTATTATTATTTAAGCACAAATATGATAAAAGCTTAATATATCCGGTTATATATAAAAAATTTAAAACTTTTTTTTTCACTATCTCTTTCATAAGACGAGTTATGATTTAAAAACATAAATAATTTCATTCTTAATTTTACTATAGTTTAATATCAAGCAGAATTATCTGCGAAATGAAATAAAAACCTTTGAACCGTTTACTGCAATAGATTGTTCTAGCTAAATATAAATGCTTTCACATTACAGTTTGCTAAACTTGAACAAATATTTCTTGACATATATAAATCTGATGGGAAACTGAATCTTGACATTTATAAATCTGATGGGAAACTGAATCTTGACATTTATAAATCCGATGGGAGACTGAATCTTGGCATTTATAAATCTGATGGGAAACTGAATCTTGACATTGATAAATCATATGGGAGACTGAATCTTGGCATTTATAAATCTGATGGAAAACTGAATCTTGACATTTATAAATCCGATGGGAGACTGAATCTTGACATTTATAAGTCAGATAGGAAACTGAATCTTGACATTTATAAATNCCTAGCTCTAAAAGCCACGCAGGCAATTGAAATTGCTACACAGGCAACTTCTCAACCAGATCACAAGCTATCTTTCAAGCTATATCAGATCAGATTGCCAGTTGTTAGAGGACAGAGAGGATAGGGTAGAGCATAGAAAGGGTTCTTTAGAGTATAGATAGGGTAAGTTGGACTATAGAGAGGGTAGAATAGAGTTAGAGAGGATAGGTTAGAGAATCTAACCCCAAAGATGACACCCCAGAAAATATAAAAACATGACAAATCAGGGAAACAGGAGAAACTAGAAATACACTGAAAACTCCGGTGTATTTTTATTTACTTGATACATATAGCCGAGGTCTCTCTGAAAAAACTGTGTTTAAGCTTTTCCGCCTAATAAACGTGTTTTTTTGTACTTTAAAAAGTGTTCCTAGTTTATGCAATGCCCTTAAAAAAATTTGGGGGGGGGGGCAAAGTTTTCCTCTAAAATGCCGTTTTAATTTTCAATAGTAGGTCTCATATTCGAAACTG